TAAATAAGTAAAATAAATAACAAAATAAAATAAGTAAAATAAATAAACAACCAAACAGATAAATAAATAAATGGACAATTAGCCAAATAAAATAAACGAAACAAACAAAATAAATAAGATATATATCATTATATTCATTTCATATATGTGCACAAAAACATATCTGATAAATTAAACTAAATTTTTATTAAGTTATGAACTGAAAATTTTGCATAAAAATGAGCCTTTCCTAGTTTCCCATGATCCTATAATTAATTAATTACATATTTTATCGTTTTTTTTTTTTCAAAGATCCTTTTAAGCCATTTAATTCACAAAATTTATTTATGAATAGTAATAAAATAAAAATATGCGATAAAGTAAAAATTGAAGAAAGATCTATTTAATCAGTTTTAAATCGTTAATTTTTCTTCGTTTTTTCTTTTTTTTTAAAAAGTTATTTCAAGCAGCAATTTGTTTAAATTTATTAAATTAGCAATAGCATTGCAAAAGCTAAAATTACAAATGAAAGAAGGATGGAAAAATCAATTTCAAAAAAAAAAAAGTGAAAAGCATTTTTGAGAAGGAAAAAAAAAAAGATGGAACGAATGAATGAATATTTAACATTAATTGTTTTTCATTTGTTCATAAGAGAAGTATTAGTTTAGTTGTCATTAATTTTAATAGCACCATAAATTTTACAGCCTTTTTATCCTTTTTTTTTTTCGATGTTAATAAATAAAAAAGTTTGCAATTTAATATATGCTAATTAATAAAATTGCTAATAAATTACATAGCAGCAATGTATTGCAAATGTTAAATAATAATTAGTAAATATTAATGATTGCTAACAATTAAGCAATGTGATTGCAAGGGAAAAATATTAAATTGAGTGTAAGAAATGGAATTTTTCTTTTTTTTTTAAAAAAAAATTTAAAATTATTCTATTTTTTTGAAAATTTAAAATTACAAAAATTATTTTTTAAAAATTTGAAATTATTTTTCATTTTTCTTTTTTTTTGTTGTGTGTTTCTTCCTTAAATAATAAATATATGCATTATTACTTGAATTTTTTTTCTGCTTTCATTTTTTTTTAATATTGAAAAAAAAAGAACAAAAGTTGTCATTCTTTTATCGTTTCTTTCTTGAGCCATCAATTTTTATTTTCCGAATTTCCAGATTATAATATCCATATTTATGCATCTATTAGCAGAATTAGCAGTTAAGAATTGGGAAAGTTTAAGTGTAAAGCTTTCAATTTCAATAACGATTATATATGAATGTATAGGGAAAGCTATGCTCAAAAGTGAGCCAAATAAATGAAAAATGAAGCAGCCAAGTAGAGATAAAAATAGACATAGCATGTGAAGAAAATAATGAGCCAAGTGATGGATATAGGTGAATAAAGAGGTTGCTATGCATAAGATATTGCATGAGGAGACATTTGCAAAAATTGAAAAACAAATTGGGATGGGAAAGAGGGGAAAAAAAAAGAAAAATCGGATTGGAAATTAAAAATTATTTTAAAAATAAAATCGCATATTATTTATTGTGAAAATACCTATTGTAATTTTTGTATAAAATAATTATTAATTATGATTTTTAGAATATAATTGCTGAGAAAGCTTCAAGTAAACCGGAAGTATATTTTAGTTGAATATGATTGCTGAAAAAGCATCAAGCAAACCGGAACCATATTTTAGTTTAAAGAAATAAATATGAGAAAATATAAATTATATCGGCAATAGGAATAATCAATGGGATGAATTAAACGGAATGATTTAATGATGGATATTATTGTAGGTTTGTTGCAGAATTTTAAATGAATAAGCAAGTTTATTATTCCTTTTACCGGATTCTTATCATTCTACCGGAATATCATTACGAAATGAGAGTTTAAAAGGATTGAAAAATGAATTCAGACTTATCTTTCAATTTTAGAATTATGATGTTTGAAAGTTTTTTATCCGTTTTTTTTTCTTTTTTATTGATGTCTACTTTGATTTTTTTTCCGTTAAATTCCAAAAAAAACTTTTTTACCATCCTCAATCAGAATAAAACTAGGACTAATATAATCCAATTTGTCAACGTTTATTTTCACAATCCTCACAAGTAATCCCACTGACACAACTCATGCAACTCCAGTTCCGGTAATACGGTATGTCACCAAACATTATCACACGATGCCTTTTCCTGACAAACCGGATAGCTTCCGGTTTTTTCGCACTATGCAAATAAAAAATCCCGCTGCCGGCAGGCTTGTGCTCGAATTGCGAAAACATTTATGATTTGCATTAAAAGGATTCATATCTAGTTTGAAATAAGCACTTTTGGATGATTTGTTGTTTCCGATCACTTAAAGTTTTAGGTTATTTAAAATTTAGCTAACATAATCAGTTTTGGATAACCTAAAATTTTTTTTCCAAAAGATTTCCTATCTTACATGAAGCCTTTTCCTTTTACTGCACCGGAAAAAAAAAGGAGGAAGTAAATGTGATGCGTAGTGATTTATGAAAGGTATTATTGAATTCAGCAAAAATTAGAAGCGGAAAATTAGAAAATTAGAATTTCAGGAAAATTGGAAGCGGAAAACTTTAACTCATTTGAAGTAATTTATTTCCATTCATGAATTTCGACAAATAATATGATGTAATGAATTAATGGATCAATCGAAGATATCACGAAAACTTCGGAAATGCTTGTTGCAATTGCAAAAGCATGATCCGGATGTGGAAATTTCATCAGTCCCTACTAATGTAAGTTGATAATTTTCATCGAAACTTCAATATACTCGTAATTTACCGCATAATTTATTATATAATTTTGCTTATATTTTTAAAAATTCCAAATGGAAATAAAAGTAATTATCAATTTATACTGTTCACATTCATTGTATTTTTCCTATCATTAGATAGATGCATATTATAATAATTTACATATGTATTATGATAACTAACTTCATTTATGTATATTAAAGTAATAGTTAGCATATGTATTCTAGTAGCAATTCACGTACATTGTCATTATTTTGATAGTATTTATGTATGTATTATTTCTTATCATTTTTTTTTCCCACTTTGAAATACGTTTGAAATCGTGATATCTTCTTTCTAATCATTGCTTGATATCTTTGCTAGGTATGTTGCTCACTTTGCAGGTAAAAAAATAAGAGAAGAAAAAAAGAAAACGAAGAAAAAAAACTATTTTTTTTGCTTTTAATAGGTATTGTAGAATAAGTTTGACATATATATAAGGAAGAAAGGTTTCATGGTTAATGAAATTAATTAATGAAGATGCTCTTAAATTGTATGATTTAATTGGTTTGCTGATTAAATTTGAATCATATGATTGTCAATAGATACATTAAGGGACAGTTTCTTTTGATTTAGGATACTTTTATACTAGGCAATTGTTATGATGCGATCAAATCTTCTCCAAGTTAAAGTTAAAATTTATTCATATTATGTTCAAAAGTCAGTTAAGGCAAATGTTCACTTTTGGTCTGTTCTTTATAAATTCATTAATTAAGGAAATTAAATTTTGATTTTCGAGTTTTGATTTTGCAGATATTATTTGTTGCTAATAGTAGTCCATTGTGTGGGTTATCATACGATGAACTGGAAAGGATATTCAATCAGTTTGGTGAAAGCTGTGATTTCATGGTATTTCAATCTCAACGTTCTTACTCTTTCGTCATTTTTCAAACTGTAACTGCAGCTCAGTTAGCTTATCAAAAACTTCATGGACAGATACGATCAGGATTGAATTCGAATGCGTTACCTTTCTATATCGCTTTCGTTAAAAACGGTAATTATTGCTGTGTATTGTCATAAATCGTACATGGACAAATAAGTGAAAATTAACTGGAACGAGACAGAAAGATTCAAGTTTAAAGTAGATGAAAGTATACCAGAATACTTAATTTTATACTCAGTTAATTTTGGATATATAGAATAACGACCTTTATTTCTTCTCTTTCCCTCATACTAAGTAAAATAGGCGCAGTTACATTATAAATACCACATCAATTTTTTTCCGTTCTTACTAAACTTCGAGTAAATTGAATGCAGTCATAAAAAGTAAATTTGAAGCTGCCATTTGTTAAAAACAAAACTATTTCAGTACCAGCGATTAAAAGAACAGAACCGTTGTATAAACCAAACAACCTGTGGCTTTTGCCCGATTTTATTAATGCGGATGAAGAAGCAACATTGATTACTGTCATCCAAGATTATATGCCTAGTGGAAGTGCGATTTTTTTTTTTGAAAAACTTTAAGTGTGTGGTGTACAAGTGGCTTTTTATACATACGGGGAGCTAAATTATGTTTATTTGTTTTTTTTGTCTTTGTTTTTTGCGTTTTATTTCTTGTTTTTGGACGACTTTTCGATTTAGTGTGCGATCAATGACAACTTGTGGAAATTGGCAGTTTATATTTTGATCTAATACAAGTAGTTTGAAATCGTTATTCTTATAAATTTTGGTCAAGCTACGTTTCCAGAAACATTAAAAAACCGTAAAGTGATCCATTTTGGCTTCGAATTCAATTATGATAATAATATGGCATCTGAGCAACCATCTCCAAATCCAATACCAGCAGCCTGTCAACCTATAATTGATCGAATGCTTGATGCCGGAATATTTAAAGAAGAACCGGATCAGTTAACGGTGAATATCTATGAGCCTGGAAATGGTATACCGTCGCATGTTGATACTCATTCTGCATTCAGCGATACTATAGCTTCACTTAGTTTGCTTTCAGGTTTATTTGCAATCTTTTTTTGGAAATTATTGGGAAAGCTCATAGGATATATTTGTTAATAAATTTATTTGTTCATTCGAACGTTTTAAATCTGCATTGATTGTGGGAAGTTCTTTCCTAAACCATAATCATCAACTTCTACTATTTTATTATGTGTCAGAAAAGCATCGATTTTTGCCGATATTTTGAGATTTTTAGTTCGGTTTCGAACACAACTACTCATCAACTTATCATTTTACTTTAGATCTTGTTATGGAATTTCGTGATTTTGCAAACACTTCAACCATTTATGATGTTCTTTTGCCGCGTTTAAGTTTGGCAGTGATGCAGGGCGAGTCACGATATCGATGGAAACATGGGTGATTACTGCTACTTTCTAACTAGTTGATAAATGAATGTGTGTGGAAATTTGGTTATAAGCTTTCTTCTAAAAAATAATGTGAATATTTTATCAACTTTTTGTAATAAAAGATTTTGCAGTATAGCGAAGCGAAAATATGATGTAAATCCGATCACAAATAGGTTGATGCCGAGAAAGTTGAGAGTTTCTTTTACATTTCGGAAGGTAACACGAGAAAAGTGCCAATGTCCATTCATTGAATATTGTGATTGGGATCGGAATGGTGCAATGAAAATTCCGGATAATGATGAATATGGCGCAACTATTGAAAAGCGATATGTGTCCGCGGTTAGATGATTCGATTACTGTTCTCTATTCTCTCTGATGTAGACATACTCTTATCCAATTTTCGGACTTACATTTTTAGGTATATGATTCTATAGCAGATCATTTTGACATAACGCGACACGCCCAATGGAATGGCATTGCTAAATTTTTGGCAAATTTTGAGCCTGGAACGATAGTTTATGATATTGGTTGTGGTAATGGAAAATATCTCAAACTTGATGATTCGCTAATCAAAGTACGCTTTCTTGTATTTGAGAGTAATTCTTTGATGTGAGGAAATAGTTTATTAAATTATGTACTCTCTATAATTGCTCGTTTAGAGAATGAATAGAAATAATTGAAATTTCCAGTTCAAATTCCAAATATAAACAAAATCTTAAAATTTTATGTTAGTATTGGTAAAAAAGCTCAGTGTTGATTTGTTTTATCGCTTAAAAGTCCAACATACGAATATTATTTGGTTGTATTTTAGATTGGTTGTGACTTATGCAGCAATTTATGCCGTATAGCTAGCCAAAAGCAATGTAATGTGTTGCGTGCAGATATTTTGTCGTTACCTTTCAAAAGTTCTAGTGCAGGTGCAATCTTATGCATTGCTGTCATCCATCACTTGACAACGAAAAGAAGAAGGTACCTAGTTCATGCGAATTTTTTCTTTTTTTTTTTAACTTGTCATTCACGCTCTCACAAAAGTTTGTAATCTTACGTATGGAAGATTTTCCGACATGCAAATAATTTACTGCATTATTAGTTCTACTTGCGCATTTTAGTAGTGCAGCATATCAATGTAAGGATGCATACCATGATACTATGTATTGTATTCCATGGTTAACTTTATAGTTTATGCACTTTTTATTTGAAGGATTCGTGCAATTCAAGAAATTATTCGTATATTGAAATCAGGTGGCCAAGCATGTATCACAGTTTGGGCTTATGAGCAGAAGTTGTCTGATGAGCCTTCTGAATATTTGAAAATGCGCCAAAAGAAGCGTGATGTGCAGGTTTCAAATTACATTGTTTTCCTCATACTTTTTCCCATTTCGAGATGGGATAATCTGAGCTTATATGATTTTAATAAGTTTCAAACATTTTTCTTTCTGCTATCAGCTTTTTTCCTATCTTACAAAATCACTGATAGGAAATGTAAATTAAACGTTTCAAAGTTTGCTTGGATGTACATATATGATGATAATTGATTTTTTTTCCAGATGAATCGTCGAGAAAGTAATGGAAGATTACGGGTACATGAAGGAAGAGAATTCACTCAACCGGATATGCTTGTTCCATTTCAGAATGCTGATGGAAGTCGATTCCTGAGGTGCTTGAGAATATTCACTACACTACTCTTAAAATTAAACTTCAATTTCAGTATAGTTTCTCTTGACGAAGTTGAGAATAAGACTGAGTCGGTGTGTAGAAAGATGGAACAAAGTAAAATTTTTATTAAATGTTGAACCTGTTCAATGCTCTTTAGCTTAATCATTGTTCGATTACTGGTAAGGCAATGAATGATTTAGGAGGTGATGTGACACAAGTGTAATAAAGTAAATTGAATTTAATTTTAATTTAGGTACTATCACTTATTCCGTGATTTCGAACTCGAAGATTTGATCAACGATGTTGGCGGATGTATTGTTGAAAAATATTTTTATGAACAAGGAAACTGGATTGCTTACATAAGGAAAGCATGAAGATTTTTCTGCTTATTTTTATTAATTTGAACTCTATGTTGCTTGCATGTTACGGGTATGACTGCTGTTTTATTCTCTCTCCTTTTTACTATATCATATCTGTAATTGGGAAATCTGAACAATGTTAAAATTCAAAATTTAGTTGTTGAACGTTGAATTTTAAAATATTAATTAAATTTAATTGTTAAAACTTAAATCCCTAATGTTATGGTGAAAAATTTGTATACTTGTTTCAACTAGTAATTCTGAACTCTAGATATCAATTATCAAAATGGTTGTTATGGTCAGTGAAGTTTGTTTATGCAAATTCCATTTTATTAATTTTCCTGAAATTTACAGCCAACATTTTTACTTAGATTAGGTAATTAGCGATAATTGAATTTTTGAAATCATTGTTCACAACTCTAATGAGGTGGTTTAAATGAGCAGAAATAACTCACTTTAATATGGAAGAAACCTGAAGCAGATATTTTACCGGAATTTTTGTAAAGGAAAGATTCATGTTACCACTGAGACATAATTTTATATGATCCATTGCAGTTTGCATATGCTTATGATAATGAATGAAAATCACTAAAACTTTATAGTAAACTCTTCATTTTTGGAGTGAATGCAAAATGAAAGTTAAAATCGATTGCATTGAAACAAAATTTTGTCAATAACAAATTTCAGTATTATCCATCAACAAACAGCACGGAATTCTATGGAATCAATTTGCACGTATAAACTGCTTTATTCTACGGCTTCATTACGGGCAACATTGCTTGGATTCTTACCCTCAATGTTCCAAATGATTCTGATTCTGCAACAGAAGGATTATTAAGCGGTGCAAATAAAACAGGACATTGACATTTTCATTTAATTAAAAGTGATTAGCGATAATTAAATTTCCGCAATCACTCTTCACAACTTCAATAAAGTAATTTAAATGAGCAGAAATAACTCACTTTAATACGGGAGAAAACTGAAACAGCTATTTTGCTAGAATTTTTATGAAGAAGTGATTCAGGTTATAACAGGAGACATAATTTTTCCCTCATCAATTTCTGTGCTTACAAGAAAATATCGAAAGCAAGCTGATTCTCCACGGTAGCCTTAATCGATGTAATCATGATGTTGTAAATTCGAAAAAAGGTCCCGGTCATTTTTTGGGAAATGCTATTCCACGATGTGCTTTTGAAAGACAACATACTATAGTTGTAGTTAATTTCAACATTGATATCAATTTCCAATAATATCGTTTATGTTAGCAACGTCATGAATGTTAGTAGTATGTCTTATCTTCGTTAAGAATTTAATAACTTTTACAATAGACATTGTATTTTTTGAAAATTCCTTGGAAAGCTATAATTTTTGCCTTCTATATCCTGCTTAATGTGATCATCTTAACAATGTTAATTCATAAAATTTACCGGAAGTAATCATTGAGGCATTACTAGTAATGTGAATGTGCCAAGTAGTAATAGTGGCATAAATGAAGATCATGAGATTATCATTGTTACAAAGCATTTCCGGAATTGTTAGCTTAATGAATGCTACGAGTTGTTTTAATTAGAATTCAGAATATTTCTCAGATAAATGATTTGTTAAATAAATTCAATAAAATAATGTTTCGATACCTAAAATGGTGAATCATTTATTCAAATCTAACTCTTTCATTTTTTTTTTAACGAATTTTGATTACAATGCTTAAATATTGCAGATAAATCTCTTTGTTGTAAACTTTTCTCAATATGTTAATTAAGCTTACATCCAATTGTTGGAATGTTGGAAAAACATATGCAAATGTCAACATTTTGTAAAGAACCTTTAGTCTGATAGTTAAGCCAATCAATGTATCTGAAGTGTTAAACCATTGCCACTGTACAAGGAGCTAGAATCTAATCATCCTGGGTCAGTTACCAAATCTGGAATGGTCACTCAATCCAAAATCTACCCACACCTCGCTGAATTACTCAATCAGACAGTTTGCGCAAGCACTCAAGGAGACATCATAGAAGGGCATTCAACTAGTGACAACAGTCAAACGACAGAGAAGTGACAATGCAACAGTTCAACAGCATGAACGATAGACTATTTGGTATCCTTTAATACTTTTATATATTATTCCATTGTTCTTGTTACTGTTTCAGTTCAATATTGTACCGTATCATATAAGATCTATAAAGGTTACTATCAAAGTTACACAGTTACAATAACAAAAATATTTGCAAAATCTTTCCCTGACAGTTTGTACTCTCAATTTCACTCAATTGAATGGATTGTAAGGAAATTTCAAATGATTTTTTACTACTGGCATAGGAAATTCTACCAATAGCATTTGTCATCGCCAGCGAAACCTGTCATTTCCGATTCCATGGCTAAAACCGTCATTTCCGATTCCGTGATTAAATGTTTGAAATTGTTCCAAATTCAATTTAACATCTAAAATTTCAGCTGAGCCTTGCATTATAGAAAAAAATATTGCTAATAGTTGTACAAACTCCTTAACATCTAAACTTTCGAGCATGTAATTTCAGTGGTAACCGAAATACAAAATTTTCATTTCCCAAACTTTCAGGATATCGGGGGAAGAAAAATTAATTTTTGGTAAAATTGGTTAATTATTGTTGGCATTCATAGAAACGATTTCAAAAAAAAAAAAAAATAGTGCAAACACTCTGTAGCAATAATTATTTTATATTTAGAGATAATTTCTGACCATTACCTCACTAATCACTTATTATTTACCCTTCAATGGCCTCTTGTTCAATTCTTTAACGATCATCTAATAATGAACGAATTAGAAGTTTAATGTTTTTCAGTGGGCTTAAATGAAATTTCGAAATTTTCGGTACAAGTTAGTCGTCCTAGTGCTGCGGTATAATTATGCATTTATTCTCGAATGGAAAGTACCGAGCAAAACAGTCTGAACATTGCTGCAACTTTATCAGAATTTATCGCCAAAAGAATCCGCTGGGATTAAAAGGTTTCGTTATTTCGATGCTCATCAAACTTTAACCGGACTTACTAAGCATATTCTACCAAATTTAAATTCACGATCTCTTCTTTCATTCGCAGAAACGTCCGCAGCATTGAAAAACACACTATTTCCATCCTTCACGTCACCAGTTGTGTTTTTGCATTCTCGACATGTCAATGTCGCAGAACAGCAATGAGGAGATTTTCAAGAATTCGAATCCTTACGAATAC